AATTTGATATAATAATATATTAATTAAAATTTACTATTAAGTGTTATAAATTTGTGTTTGTTTGATGTTCTGGCTTACGGCTGGGTGGCTAAGTTTCTTGTCCTCCCTCTGTGAGAACCAGGTCTGCTGTCTGTTTAGGCTGTGCCACAGACGGGGGGTTGGGGACGTCTGGAGGGCATGATTCCGAGACCACGTAGGTGAGTGAGCAAGCCACCATCAGTAAGGAGATGAGGAAGTGCAATGAGTTAACAGTCCAAGTGGAGGGAATCATGGTTAGGTCATCTTTCTGATCCCTGCACATAACCCAGAGAGCAGGGGAACCCTTCACCCACAGATGAGAATCTGCTTGAAGCAGAAAAGGTGTTAAGATGCCTGCAGGGCCTTTCTGTGCAAACCCCCAAGGAGCTTCACAGGAGGAATATTCCCTATGTAAGGAGAGCTGTGGGCTGGGAGAAGCCTCCACACAGGGCCAAGTCATCACAAAGGTATTGAATTTCCCTGTGCCTCTCTGCCGCATGTTTGCTGGCCTCAGATCTGGCACTAGCACAGTTCTAAGAAAGGTTCCCTTGACCTGAGACTGAGCCACAGATTCTCCACAAGGCTCTCTTAGTCACAGTGCCCACTGTCCTAGGTCCTGGCACATAGCGATTAATAATAAATATCTGCCCAATTTCTGGAATAAAGGTATTTTCTTAATGAATAGTGATTTCTGCCAACCCTTGGAACTAAACAGATGAAACTGTCAACAATGGAGCTGAGAGACAATCCTATGAAACAAACTTTCTATGACCTTCAGCTCTCCCTTGTAAATGCGTGCACTTTCAGCCCTGTGGGTGTGAAGACTGTGAGCCCAACTCATGAGAGGCAGACGAAGCAGGACATCCTTGACTCTAGAGTGTCTTTCAGGCTGCATAGATTCTATTCAACAAAACAAACAAAGCTGGTTACAGCAGAATCAATGTAAATATTTTCATAGTAAGCTCTATGTATTTGTTTTATTGAGAAGTACTGAGTAAGGCATTGCTATACAGAAAAAGGATGGAGGAGCCAGTGTGGGCAACAGATAAGAAGTTCTTGGTGCTGAGAATAAGTGGCACACTCCTTCAATCCCAGCATCTGGGAAGCAGAGGCAGGTACATCTCTGTGAGTTCTAGCCTAGCCTGGGTGCTACACAGTGAGTTTGAGGACAACCAGGACTATAGAGTTAACCTGTCTCACAAAAATTGTGGTTAACTGTTAGCTAGTAAGTGTTTATCCTGAAGGGGTTTTAGGGATGACAATGATAGTTTGGGGTCACTTGTGTTGGTCAGGTATTGGAGTACATGGAGCCTATTATCAAGTAGAGGACTGAACATTAGGACTAGGATTACAAAAACATTTTCATCACATTAGAATTTGAGTGTGTGTGTGTCTTAGAATTTCTATTGTGTGAAGAGACATCATGACCATAGCCTCTCTTTGGGGTGACTGACTGTTTCAGAGATTTAGTCCATTATCATCTTGACTGGCAAAATGCAGGCAGATATGGTACTGAAGAAAGAGCTGAGAGTTCTACATATTGATCTACAGGGAACAGGTTGTGAACTGTATACCGTACTGAGTGTAGCTTGAGCATAGAGGCCTCAAAGCCCACCCCCACAGTGACACACTTCCTTCAACAAGGCCACACCTCCTAATAATGCCACTCCCTTTGAGGGACATTTTCTTTCAAACCATCATAATGTGTGTGTGTGTGTGTGTGTGTGAGAGAGAGAGAGAGAGAGAGAGACATAGAGAGACATAGAGAGACAGAAAGACACAGTGACACAGAGAGACAGAGACACACACAGAGACAGAGAGATGGAGAGAGAGACAGAGAGAGAGACAGAAAGAGACAAAGACAGAGACAGAGAGAGACAGAGAGAGACAGAGAGACAGAAAGAAAGACACAGAGACACAGAGAGAGACACACATACACAGAGACAGAGAGAGACACAGAGAGAGACAGAGATTGACAGAGAGAGAGAGAGAGAGAGAGAGAGAGAGAGAGAGAGAGAGAGAGAGAGAGAGAACCTTTCACCCCCTTGGAGACAAAGTCTAGCATCATTTACAAAATGAAAAATGCCAGGGATGGTAGTGTGTTCCTGTAATTCCAGTGCTTTGGAGGCAGACATAGTTGGATGTCTTTAAATTCAAGGTCAGCTTGATCTGCATAGCAAGTTCCAAGATAGCTAGGGCTATATCAGATGCTCTCAACATGAGGGTTGTGACCCCTTTGGAGGTCACATATCAGATATTTGCATTATGATTCATAACAGTAGCAAAGTTACAGTTATGAAGCAGCAACAAAATAATTTTATGGTTGGGGTCACCACGGCCTGAGGAACCGTATTAAAGGGTCCCAGCATTGGGAAGGTTGAGAACCACTGGGCTACACAGAAAGATTCTATCTTTAAAAAAAAATGGAAATAGAATACCATGTTGTGTTGGACTAATGAGTGGGGTAATTCTGTTGGTCTACAATATTGGAGCTGATTAATTGCTTGTCTTCTCAGATCATGATTGAGTATAAAAAAAAAGGATCAGTTGGCCTCAGCTGTGGGGAGGGGCAATAGACTTGGGAAGTGTCATCTGACAGTGAGTTTATAGCAAGCCGGCTCCAGCATTTACAGCAGGTGGAACCGAGTTCTGTGCTAGGTGTGGAAAGTCCCTGTAGGCTCAGATGTCTGAACACTTGGTCTCCAGCTAGTGAGCTGTTTGGGGAGGTTGTAATCTGCAGAGGAAGTAGGATATTGGTGACAGACTCTTGGGAGAATAGCATCCTTGGCTGCTTACTATCTTAGTGGTGTGGACAGCAGCATCATACCCCTGCTGACATGGACTAAGCCACTCTCCTCCCCACCTTGATAGACTGAGATACCATGAAACTGTGCCGCAGTGAGTCCTTCTTGAAGCTGTGTCTCTGCCCTGTGGAACGGAGATAACTTTAGACTCTCAGAACAGCCTGGCAGTGCACCTTATCTGGCCAGCGGATATGAGTCTAGCTCCGACCTTTACCGACAAGACATTTACTCGGCTGGTTCATATCACACTTACTCTTTATTGTAATCCCAGGGGCAGACAGACAGCTTGTGCAGATTTGTGCCTTAAAAAAAAGGTGCAGTTGTGACTGGACACCAAGACTGAGCTGAAGTCTGTGCTTGACTTAAACGCCTGAGAAGCCCAGTGCTTTCCCACACCAAATCTGGGACTCTCATTTACTTCTAGAGTGTTTGATCCAAACGCTGAAAGTTCTCATGCTTCAGTTAGACTTAACTATTTTCTTAAACTTATCATGAATTTCTGGCTGCACTGAGGTAAGATGGCCTCTAATACAGAAGAAAAAGTAAGTTCAGAATCTCTGATGAAATAATCGTCTCATCTGACCCTTGCTTCATATTGCTGGAAAAAAAAGCAAACAAACCTGAGATCCTGTAGCAATGGCATAGGGCCTAGGGGCTGCCTATTTCTTTAACGATTTACTTTTGTGTATGTGCACATCTGTGTCTTTGTCTATGGGTGCTCTCAGGGGCCAGAATAGGGCAGTGGATGCCGAGCTGGAGTTATGGTGGCTGTGAGCTGCCCTGTGTGGATGCTGGGAAATCACTTCTGTCCTCTGCAAGAGCCCAAGTGATCTTACCACTGGGCCACCTTCCCAGCCCCGCAATGCCTGGGGGGCCTGACTTACTGGATCCATGTCTCTTTAACTGTAATAACATTGCTTTTCCATCTCACTTAACCATTTCCTTTACTACTAGTTACTTTAAAGTTCCCTTTGAAATTCTTATCAGAACCTTCCTCTGGGTGTGTTAGTACATGGATAATTGTTTACATAAGTGTTTAACTTGGTTGTGTACTTTGGCATATTCTTTAAGGACTTTGAGGACTAAAGAATATTCATCATAGCAACCTTTTTATGACTGTTATTGCTACTTTTATGCTTATCATAGGACTTTTTGAAGGTATAGGAAAGACCAGAAGAATAATAGCATCTTTGTTTCTGCAAGTTCTAGCTTTCACTCAGATATAATTACCTTTCCTTAATACTTTTTTGTTGTTGTTGTTTTGTTTTTTTGAGACAGGGTTTCTCTGTATTGTTTTGGAGGCTGTCCTGGGACTCGCTCTGTAGACCAGGCTGGCCTTGAACACACAGAGATCCGCCTGCCTCTGCCTCCTGAGTGCTGGGACTAAAGGCGTGTGCCACCAACGCCCGGCTCCTTAATACTTTTTAAAAAAGATTTATTTTTAATTATGTATATAATGCTCTGCTTGAGTGTATCCCTGCAGGCCAGAAGAGGGCACCAGATCTCATTATAGACAGTTGTGAACCACCATGTGGTTGCTGGGAATTGAACTCAGGACCCCTGGAAGAGCAGCCAATACTCTTAACCTGTGAACCATCTCTCCAGGCCTCCTTGGTGCTTTTAAATCATTTAATAAGAATACATTTAGATGGCTAAAGACGTGTTTTCCCTGCACGATCATGTGAGCAAATTTGCATTTTTCTTTCATGATGGAGCTTTGAGATTTAGATGGATATCGACTAAGACATTTTTTAAGTTTTAGATTTCCTTTTACTCAAAAGTTCTCAAAAGAAATAAAACAGAAAATGCTAACAACATGAGCTAATGTCTTTTGGCTTATAGTAGCAGAGTCCTGGGAAAGAAAACTACAGGGTAAACTTCAGCTGGGCCAGCAAGCTATCACCTAAGTTTTTGTTCTAGTAAACTAAGAATTTAAAAGTTAACTCTCCTGACCATATAGATGTCTTTATGAAAACCTGACAGCTATTTCTTTTGTGTAATTTTAGTTCTTAAACGTCATTGCTTGTATTTGATGGCAGGTGTCAGTGATAGTTCATAGCTTCCACATCCATGTTGCTGAGAAATACAGATTTTAATGAAAATTATAGGGGCATGAGAGAAATGTAGTTTTGTTTTTGTTTCTTTTTTTTTCCCAACTAATATCTTGATGCTCCTTAGACATAATGTAGGGCCTGGAGAGATGGCTCAGCAGTTAGGACGCACTTGCTGAGGACAGGCCTCGAGTTCAGTTCCTGACACCTACAGCTCCAGGACACCTGATGTCTCTGCGCGCATTGCACTCACAGGTACTTATCCACACAGAGCACAGATGATAACTCAGCGAAGCAAAAAAGCCGATATGTAAATAAATAAATACATTTCCCCCCACCACTGTAATTTTGAGCAGAAATGTTCACTTTTGTTGGCTTGCATGTTTGTGGGCTTTTTGTTTGTTTGTTTGTTTGTTTTGAGACAGAATCTAAGTCTTCATACAGTCAGACTTACCATTTTCCTCCTTCTGCCTCCCCAGTGCTGGGGCTAGAGGCTTAAGTCATCCAGGCTGGAATTACTTTTAAGCTAATCAGCATACTGACACTATGTCACAACCAGGAAGCTGGCATCAGGGGACAAGACAACTCATCTGGGAGGAGTAGGCCTGCTTTCAAGAAAATATATCATAAAACAAAAATAAAGCTCAAACCCAACTTACGGGGTGAAAACATGTTTCCTTTTGTTTTTTCCTTTTGTTTTGTTTTGTTTTGTTTTCATACAGGGTTCCTCTGTGTAGCCCTAGTCATTCTGGAACCCGTTCTATAGACCAGGCTAGCCTTGAACTCACAGAGACCCATCTACCGCTGCCTCTATAGGCGTGCACCGCCACTGCCCAGCTGGAAAAACCATGTTTATTTAGCCTGTAATACAGTCTAGTGATCCAATGTTTAAAAATTATTATTATTCCTGGCCACTACTCATGCACCCTTAGCTGGGAAGAAGACGGGGAAAGGAGGAAAGTGGAAGCGGTGACATGCTTTGACCTTGACCCTCCCGTGTTACCTCCATGAAGCGGCGACAGGCCACCCAGCACGCTGTGACCCCGCGCTGCCCTCTTATGGCTCTTCTCTAGAAGGCTAAGTCCTTCGCCTTAGGAGTCGCTCACCCGCTAAGCGTTGATCGCGGATCTGACTCGGCCTTGCTCTCGGGCCAGGCCAGTCTCAAGTGTCTTGAGAGATCGTGAGCCATTTTCCGCAGGTCAGTTCCGTTCGCACGTGTTCCCCACCTGCTCGTTTTCAGCATGCCTTCGGCTTTCCAACGTGTCCAGGTTCGGGCTGGGAGATGAGGTGAGCCCCGTGAGGGCCCAGGTTTACTCGGCTCGGATCCCGGACCCGCAGCTGTTCTCACTCAGCTGGACACAGGCGTCCTCTGACCCTCCTCTTTACGACCTCTCTGCTCCCTTACGTTCCTGTTCCCATCTTTACTCCTGCCCAGCCCTAGAGGTAGTTGCCTGAGAGTGGGGATCCTTCGCAGTACATCCACTCTGTCGGTGTTCAGTGTGCGGTGCAGAAACGCTGCGTGTCCAGTACAACAAGAGTTTTGTTGCTTGCTAATTGCTTTTTGTAACAGTCTTGCTATATAGCTCAGGCTTCTTAACCTCAGTCTCCCGGTGCTAGGATTACAGGTGTATACTGCCAAGTCCAACTTCAATATGTTTCATGACACGTGACTAAAGCATGTAAAATTGTATGTGCACCTGGAGGAAAACAGACAAGAGTGCAGTTCATAATCACACCGAGTTTTAAAGGTTTAGATGATTTAAAGATGTTTTTAAGGTAAAAAAAATTCTCTTCCAAAAGAGCAAAACTACAAATAAAACAAATTTCCAAGGTTTTAAATAGTTGTTCCTTTTTGTTTGTGTGTGTGTGCGTGTGCCACGTGTGTACAAGCACCTACAGACACCTGGAGAGGAGGCCAGCTCATTTACAGCGGGAGTTAGAGGCTGTTGTAGCTGTCCACAATGGGTGTTGGAAGAGCAGCAGGCACTCTTAACTGCTGAACCATCTCTCCAGCACCCCTTCTTATAATCATCGTTTAAAAGGGGTGCTGGGAACTGAACTCTTGTCTGCTGGAAGAGCAGCAGGCACTCTTAACTGCTGAACCATCTCTCCAGCACCCCTTTTTATATTCATCGTTTAAAATTTATCTCACACACCAACCACAGTTTCCCATGCCTCTCTCCTCCTGCTCCCTCTTCCCATCCCTCTTCTCCCCGCCCCCATCCACTCCTCCACACGCATTCAGAAGGGGTAAGGAATCAGCAACGCAAGACCTTCAAGTTGAGGCAGGACCAAGCTCTCCCCTTCCAGCCCCCTTTTCAAAGATTACAAAATGTAGTGCAACCTTCAGTTACTTCTTAAGGGATGGACCGTTGCCTGTTTGGAAAACAGCAGACACCAGTGCTCACTAGAGTTAACTTGGATTGTAGAGATGAAGAGCTCTAAAGCAACGGAGACCTTCAGCTGGGTTAATGGTGGCCTGGGTTACAGAACCCTGCTTTCTTGTTTTTGTTGCCCCCTGCTGCTTGCTGGCTGGCCAGACTTCACGTATTGCAGGGGCCAAAGACGCCTGAACCACTGTCCTTGTATAAATCCTTCATCAGGGTAAAGTTGCTTCCGCCTCGCTCAGGTTCCAGCCACAGCCTGCAGACCACCTCTCTTGTGCGGCATTTCCCGTGTTATTTTTACTTCATTGGGAGGGTGGGGTCTTAGATAGGGTTTCTATTGCTGTGAAGGACACCGTGACCACACAACTCTTATCAAGGAAAGCATTTAACCGGGCTGGCTTATAGTTTCAGAGGTTTAGTACAGTATCATCATGGCGGTACATGGCAGCGTGCAGGCAGACACTGTGCTGGAGAGGGAGCTGAGCGTTCTACCTCTGGATCCGCAGGCAGCAGGAAGTGAACTGTGTTCCACACTGAGGGTAACTTGAGCAAAGGAGCCCACAAAGCCCACTCCCACAGTGACACACTTCCTCCAACAAAGCCCACTCCCACAGTGACACACTTCCTCCAACAAAGCCACTCCCACAGTGACACACTTCCTCCAACAAAGCCACTCCCACAGTGACACACTTCCTCCAACAAAGCCCACTCCCACAGTGACACACTTCCTCCAACAAAGCCCACTCCCATAGTGACACACTTCCTCCAACAAAGCCACTCCCACAGTGACACACTTCCTCCAACAAAGCCCACTCCCATAGTGACACACTTCCTCCAACAAAGCCCACTCCCACAGTGACACACTTCCTCCAACAAAGCCCACTCCCACAGTGACACACTTCCTCCAACAAAGCCCACTCCCACAGTGACACACTTCCTCCAACAAAGCCCACTCCCACAGTGACACACTTCCTCCAACAAAGCCCACTCCCACAGTGACACACTTCCTCCAACAAAGCCCACTCCCATAGTGACACACTTCCTCCAACAAAGCCACTCCCACAGTGACACACTTCCTCCAACAAAGCCCACTCCCACAGTGACACACTTCCTCCAACAAAGCCCACTCCCACAGTGACACACTTCCTCCAACAAAGCCCACTCCCACAGTGACACACTTCCTCCAACAAAGCCCACTCCCACAGTGACACACTTCCTCCAACAAAGCCCACTCCCATAGTGACACACTTCCTCCAACAAGGCCACTCTTTATGAGATTATGGGGGCCAATTACATTCACATCACCACATGTGTGTAAGATGATGGAGTGGAGGGTCAGTGTACAGTGATTTATTTTCTCAAGGATGAAACACTCTCATGGTAATCATCAACTTGTTCCTCTCTTGGAAAAGCCTAAAATCACCACTATTTTTATTTATTTTCAAAATGTTTCACATTTATTTTTTGTTGTTGTTTGTTTTTGAGACAGGGTTTCTCTGTGTAGCCCAGGCTATCCTGGGACTCACTCTGTAGACCAGGCTGGTCTCACAGAGATCCACCTGCCTCTGCATCCTGCATGTCAGGATTAAAGATGTAGCCACCACGCCTAGCTCATAATTGTTGTTTATTGGTTATGTATGTGGGCTTGTGAAAGTGAGTCTAGGTACTGGAAGAGGCCCCGGTGTTGGATTTCTCTGTAGCTGGAGTTACAGGTGGTTATGAGTACCTGACAGGGGTGCTGGGAACTGAACTCTTGTCTGCTGGAAGAGCACAATGGTGTTCTTAACTGCTGAGCCATCTCTCCAGCCTCTTGGGTGTTTTTAAATGTTAGCTAATATTTTAAAAGTCATCATAAATGAGGGGTAAGCATATCAACTATGTAGCAGGCTCTATAGAGTATCTTTTCACATTTATTTAGTGTACAATTATTTTGGCATCCCTCGGTTTACACCAGGCATTGCTTAGTGAGTCCAAGAAGCAGATATGAACTTAGATCCGCCAGTCTCCCCATGTGGACCTTTAGGGATGTGGGTGGTGAAGTGTTGGTTCTGGCAGAGGACTTGGCACTGAGAAGACAGTTCACAGATTGGACTCTGCCATTCTTCACTGGGTCCTGAGTGTCTGGGGCTCTGGACCAGACTGCAAGAACTAGGTGTGAAAACACTGGGTGGGTGAACGTTTTGCTTTCTATAAAATGGGGCCTTGAGAGAGACAGCTGTGGTGACTCATATATGTAGCTCCAACCCCTGGGAGGCTACAGTGGAAAGACCATGGGAGATTCCAGAGGAGCCTGAGCTACACGGTGACATCATGAGCTACACAGTGAGATCCTGATTCCAAACTCCAACCCCTGGGAGGCTACAGCAGAAATACCATGGGAGATTCCAGAGCAGCCTGAGCTACATGGCAACATCATGAGCTACACAGTGAGATCCTGATTCCAAACCCAAAAAAGAAGAAAAATGGGGTTAAGGAGGTAGCTTGGTTGGTAGAGTACTTGCCTAGTGTGCATGAAACTCTGGGATCCATCCCCAGCTCCACAGAGATCCATAATTCCAGCTCAGGGGGCGAAGGAGGCAGAGCTCTGTGAGTTGGAGACCAGCCTGGTCTACATAAGAAGTTTCAGGCCAGCCAGGACAATATAGTGAGAGCCCGTGTCCAATCATCAATCAATCAATCAATCAATCAATCAATCAATCATCCAACCGAATAAAAATAATTCAAGGTCAACTTCAGCTGCCCAGCAAATTCGAGGCTATCCTGGGATACATGAAACTTTTGTTTTAAAAAGAAAGGAAGGAAGGGAGGGAGGGAGGAAGGGAGGGAGGGAGGGAGGGAGGGAGGAAGGAAGGAAGGAAGGGAGGAAGAAACTAAACCAGGTAAACTAAACAAATGGAAGACTGAACTTGCTGTTGCTTGTAACAGTGGCTCATGGATATTTTCAGTTGTGATGATTTAGTCGGTTGTGCATTCTACGTGTCATTTTCCATAAAGGAAAAAGAAGCAGTCAATGCTCTAAGTATACAAAAGCTAAGATCCACAGATTAAGGCTCTTCACCTGTGAGTGTGTGGAGGGGATAATTGGCAAGTGGCATTTTCTCTCAAGAAGTAAATTTCTTTTCATTTGGTTAGCCCACACAGCGTGTACACTACAAGGTGACCTCCTCGCTTATGACCTTTTGTTTCTCCTCCCAAGCTAAGAGAAACTTTCAAAAAAATGTTTTTATGCCTGAAATTTAACAAACATTAAAAAATGTGTTAATTTACTTTTTTGTTTTGTTTGTTTTTCCATACAGTGTTTCTCTGTGGCTTTGGAGGCTGTCCCGGAACTCGCTCTTGTAGACCAGGCTGGCCTTGAACTCAGAGATCCACCTGCCTCTGCCTCCCTAGTTCTGGGATTAAAGGCGTGTGCCACCAATGCCCGGCCCTTTGCTTACTTTTTATTTCTGTGTGTACAGTGATGTGTGTCTGGAGGCCAGGGTCAATTCTGGAGTTGGCTCTTTCTTTTGTTGTGTGGATGCAGGGACTGAACACAGAATGCCAGGATTGGTGGGAAATGCCTTTACTTTCTTAGCCATCTCGCGGGTCCCCAAATTTCTGACATCACAGAGTGGGCCAATGACTTGCTCACAATCCTCCATTTATTTGTATCATTTAAGAACAACTTGCACACAATCATCCTTGGGTTATCTGGGACAAGAGACTCCATACACATTTTGGGAGAGAATTAAAGGATCAAAGTTCAAGGCAGTTAACAGAGGGAAGTGTTCCAGTGCCCTTTTCTTTAACTACACTAAAAAGGGACCTGTGCTTTGGTGTGAATGAGCTTAGAGACATGGACACAGCAGCATCCTCGCTGTGTCTGGATAAACTAGAGGTCGATGCCACAACACCAGCAGTAAATCACACACTATCACATCAGTGAGTCTGATGTGAAGAAAACCTCTAACTTTCCTGATACATTTAACTCATTTGGAATATGGGTGGAGGAGAGCTTGAGTGGCGAGCAGAGTCCCCACGTTTGCCTTAGGAAGAGCAGTCTGCTCACATCCTGGACCTGGATTATTTTTCCGTGAATGCCGCCTAATCTGATCAGTTTATTCCAATTCAGTTCTTTTCAACATGTGTTTCTGAAAGCTTTTAAGGCTGGGAGGAAGTTTGGGGGAAGAAACAAACCATCAACAAGAGCACAAAGAATCAGATACTGGTCAGTTAAGCCACAGGCTGCATACCATGACCCTGTTTACATGCACCCCTCCCTTACACAGATGCATATCTGCAATGTACCTGTGTTTGCGACTCAACTGCTGCCATCACTCTTAGGATCTTCCTAAAACAAGGGTGTCCTGTTTCATGCCCACAACTCCACCATTGCTCTCAAGGAATTTATCATTGATGACCAGTGCCCTGTGGGTGTCTCTGGGTATATGCATGCACAGGCCGGAGACTGATTTTGGATGTCTTCCTCTACCCATGTCCACTTTATTTTTCAAGATAATTTCTGCTTATTTATTTTTCCTCTTTTTAAAATGAGTCTCTCTAGCTGGCCCAGGAACTTGCTATGCAGACCAGACTGGCCTCAAACTAACAGACATCCACCTGCCTTTCTGGTGTTGCTTCACTGGTTAATTTTTTTAATCAGTATTTTTTTTTTTTTGTAGAGTATCTTTTAGAGGATCACACGCTGAACTTTTAATGTCTTCCCCTCCTCCTTTTCTTCTACTTCTGACATGACCTGAACATAACTGTAAACTCTGGACCTGACGTCTTACTTCATGCCCAACAGGTTAGATTTAGCTGGGTTTCTTATGACACAGGTTTCTAGAACAGCCACACCAACCTGTGAATAAACTGTTGTTTTTCTCTCTCTATCCCAAGGTTTTCCACGTTCGAAATTCACCTCACCGTTCTCTGCTGCCTTCCACCCCGGAACAATCCCCGAAGATGCAGATGCTTAGCTTTTCTTACGGAGTGTCTTGTTTTCCTGTTGATGTGCCTCGCATTTATCTATGTTTCCTTTGTCTTCTCTCCAATGAAAGGCATTTCAAGGCAGGTCTAATTTGTCTTTGTGGGCTGCCTTCATATTTGTCTGCCGACATAGTGAGTTGGTCAAAAAGTGAAATTGTAAAGCCAATTACATAACTTTGTTTTCTTTGTATTTTTATTTATGTGAATGTGTGTGCCACGTGCATGCGTGCTGGGAGAGGCCAGATGAGGGCAGCCAATCCTCTGGAGCTGGAGTTACAGTCAGTTTGTGAGCTGTCCAAGGACGTGGTGGGAACCAAGCCATTCCTTTGCAAGAGCAGCAAGTATTCTAGCCGGGTGTTGGTGGCACACGCCTTTAATCCCAGCACTCGGGAGGCAGAGGCAGGCAGATCTCTGTGAGTTTGAGGCCAGCCTGGTCTACAGAGCGAGTTCCAGGACAGCCTCCAAAACAATACAGAGAAACCCTGTCTCAAAAAACCAAAAAGAAAAAAAAAGCAGCAAGTATTCTGTTTTTTTTTTTTTTTTTTTTGGTTTTACAAGACAGGGTTTCTCTGTATTGTTTTGGAGGCTGTCGGTCCAGCCTCGAACTCACAGAGACCCGCCTGCCTCTGCCTCCCGAGTGCTGGGATTAAAGGCATGCGCCACCACAGCCCGGCTTGCAGCAAATATTCTTAACTCCCGGGCCATCTCTCCAGGTCCCTTTTTCTTTACAGGTATATTTTTTGTGCACACAGTAGTCTACCTCAAATTTTTTCTTTTTCTTTTTTACGTTTTAGTAAGATTAATGTATGTGATATACCCCAAGAAAGTCCTTTCATAAAGGTTGTATTGTTAAGCATTGAGGGGGCTCTTAAATTGTGTGTGTGAGTTTGTATGTGTGAGTGTGTGTGTGTGTGTGTGTGAGTGTGTGTGTGCATGTGAGCGTACACTTGCCACCATGCACTTGTGGGTACCAGGGGAAACTGGAGTTGTTCTCTCTGCGTGGGTTCTGGGGCCATGCTCAGGTCACAGAGACTTTTGTGTGGCAAATGAAGTCACCCACTGAGCAAGCCAGCCCAGAGTCCATTCTTCAGCCCTGGGAAACACTTGCATATTGTTTACTTGTTAGTGTTCTGCTGGCTGCTTCTGTCTTCTGAGGAATAAGGCCCTGTCACTGGGCTGTGACTGAGGCTGACCCTCACCCTGTTTTCATTCTTACTTTATGCTATGACATTCCTCTGATGTCTGCTTTTAACCTATCATACAGTTTCTAATACAGCTTTTGCTTTTCTTTTTCCTGAGACAGGGTTTCTTCTGTGTAACTTTGGGTGTCCTGGAACTCACTCTGTAGAGCAGACTGACCTTGAACTCAGAGATCCACCTGACTCCACCTCCCGGGTGCTGGAATTAAAGGCTGAGCCACCACCAACCGGCTTTAAAATATCTACTTTTCAAAATTAGTTTTCAGGACTTGGTCTTTGTTTTCTGAGTTCCTTTTTATCTTATCAGTTTCTTACTTCACGAGTAATTTTTTTTCTCTTCCTGTTGCCTTTCCCCAGTGCCCCAGCCCCCAAGTCTCAGCTCTACCCACTGGGCCAGTTAGTTATCTGTGGTCTTCGGCCCATTTTCCGTCTTCTGGGATCTGTTACCATGCTGCCCTCCCATGGACTCTCTGATGACTTTGCCTGCTCCCTTTTCCCTTTACCCTGACTCTGGTGACGTGCTGGGAAGGAGAGGTCTGCTTTATTGAAAAGTGTATGGCTGAAACATTTCCCCGGTCAGTTTGGTTTTGTGAATAGTGTAAACTCCCTACCTGGGAGAGTCAAGAAGTGATGCTCTGCTTAGGAGACGGAGCTTGGAGGGCTCAAAGTTTCCTGCTGAGTAATCTGGTAAGAGGAAGCGGCATGGAGATAGCAAGGGGGAGATAAACTCTCCTGGCCTTTAGACAGCCCGATACTTATTTACAGCTAGATAAGACAGCTCTACAAAAAGGTTTAGTTAGCTAGCTAACACAAACGGTCGTGTCGGTCCTGCAGTGCTGGGGTGGTCCTGTGAAGGTCTCAGTCTTTGATTTCCTCCAAATGTATGCACCTGAGAGACTAAGGCTGCAGCAGCAGGCCACTCCTAATCCTACTCACTCACGAAGAATGTCCCCTTTGAGCCACTGTGATACCTGCTGGTTACTCCCACAGATTCCTCAGGATTGGCTGGGACTGCAAATAAAACACTGTTTGCCTTCAATCAAGTCGATAAGGTACAGTATAAACAGGCACCTGTTCTCAGGCTACAACTGTGGCACTTACTCTCTTTCTTCCTAAACATTTTCATGAAAGACCTGGGAAGGGCCCGTTGTCTCTGGCCAGAAAAGATCTTTAAGGAGGAAAAGGCCAAAATGGGATTGCAGAGTTCTAAAAATCCCATAGGCCAGCAAGCCCACATTCTTCTTCTGGGACTCGACTCAGCTGGGAAATCTACCCTGCTGTACAGGCTAAAGCTTGCTGAGACTTTCACAACCATCCCAACGATCGGCTTCAACGTGGAGATGGTCCAGCTGGCCAGCGGTCTTCCGCTCACCGTGTGGGATGTTGGAGGACAGGAGAAGATGCGGACTGTCTGGGACTGCTACTGTGAGAACGCGGACGGGCTGGTGTACGTGGTGGACTGTTCCGAAGGCAAGCAGCGGCTCGAGGATTCCCGCAAAGAGTTCCAGCACATTCTGAAGAATGAACACATCAAAAACGCGCCGGTCGTCATATTAGCCAACAAACAAGACTTGCCCGGCGCTCTGAGCGCCGAGGACATCACCAGGATGTTCAAGGTGAAGAAGCTTTGCTGCGACCGAAACTGGTACGTGCAGCCCTGCTGTGCAGTCACCGGGGAAGGGCTGGATGCCGGCTTCAGGAAATTAACCGAGTTTGTGAAAAGCCACCTGAAGACGAGGGACACTTTAGCGTTCTTCAAGCAGAAATGAGGCTGCGGAGCCGTCTCAGCCTCAGAAAGACAATGATGACTTCTGTCTTATTTCCCACGTACTGTGAAAAAGTGAGTTACTGAGTTACTAAACTATTCCGGAGGTTAACTTCACTCCGTCCAGCTAAAGAAGGAACTTTATAGCAAACTATGGGGTAATGGTCATTGAGATGGAAGAATTTATCTTTTGAAAAGGTTAACGTGTTGGATGATTTGAAAGTCATGTTTTGAGCCGGATAAATGTTCACTAATTTTATATGACTGTTAGAGCAATACCTGTCTGCTATACAGTCAGGAGTCTTTCAAATGGTTCCCAGCTGTTGCACTGTTACAGGTGTTGAATTTCTACCCTGTTCCTGGGTAATAAGTGAGTGGTGAGAAAACGATTAAAATGTAGCGAGGCAAAGGTTGATGTTGCCCTCTTGAAAATCTTTGCTTTCTAAACAGAGCCCCTCCACCCCACCCCCAAGCCTGCCAGCGTTTTGAAATCTATTTCTGGTAACTTCCTTCAGCGAGTCTTTTTTAAAATATATTTTTTATTCTTTGAGCATTTCATACAATGTACACTGATCATATTCTCTCTCTCTCTCTCTCACACACACACAAACACACACACACACACACACAGAGTCTTAAACAACTTCAGATCAGTTGCTCAGAGGAGGGTTCTGCAAGTAGACTGAGTTTAGAGTCACTCTCTAGGCTGCAGCCTCGGGACCGGCCTCAGAGGAACGCAGTCCCGCAGCTCCATTACCTAGGATCACAGGTGCTCCTGGTACCGAGGATCACAGGTGCTCCTGGTACCGACCAAACAGGAAGCTGAGCCAGACTTTGCTCCCAGACACTTTACAGTACCCCGGGCGAAGTGACACGCAGCAGGTAGCTGGAGCAAGGCAGTAGGTGCTGCAAGTTATTGAAGTTATTGCAGGAGAGACACCCAGGGAAACAGGGAAATGCTTCTTGTAGGAGAGGGCGTTGAAGAGGGTGGCTAACTCCCAGGGACCCCATGCAGGTGGAGGTTAGTGGAGAAGATTTCTCATCCCAGGTGATTCTCCGAAGCCATCATGACCGAGAGAAGGGGCGGCTGAGCACAGAGGAACTGTGAGGACAGAGTAGGAATCTCCGTGGGAGGAGTGGGGCTTCCAGAGAACCCTGGGACTGAGGCTTCCCCCTCCCACCCCAGGGAGGCTCCTTTGGTGTAGGATAATGCCATTGAGCTCCATAGCAACCCCACTGGCTACAAATCTTGAGCTATTGGGGAAAATACAGGCCTAGTAAGTCAAGGGAGACGGCTTAGAGGTTAAGGGCACTTGATGCTCCCCCAGCAGCCTCGAATGAGTTCCTAACCCTTGTTGGCTGGCTCACAATCACATGTGAGTCCGGTTTCAGGGGATCTGACACCCTTTTCTGGGCACTAGTGCATATGTAGCACGCACATACATATATACACAGAAGTAAACATAAAGAAGAACCTTAAAATAAGTCAAGGGTGATTGCCCCTGGGTTCCCCTAAACTTTTCTTTTCTCCTTGTAGATATTATTTGCTCAGCAAAGATCCTTCTGGGCTTCATAGTGTGGCATATGATAATGGTTACTCCTGGCTTAAAACTGTGTATACCAGTCATCGGGATAAACGCTTTCCCATATTTTCCTCATATAGTGTTTGCAACTTCTCTGAGGGGGAAAAAGGCATTATTACTTCAGTTTACAGATGTAAGCGTCGGGGCTAAACAGGGTGAAATCACCCCTCCCTCTCACATACACACAGAACTATTTCAAAGTTTTATTACATTGGGGCATGGATTGTGTGTGGGGTTCAGAAGACAAATGTGAGGGGTAGCTGTTGAGACATCTCACAGTCAACTGCTTCCCCTTCCGTTGTTTTTGAGTGTAATAATATAATCACATCATTTCTTCCTCCTTTTTTCTTCCTTCCAAGCCCTCCTATATGCCCTTCCATGCTCTTTTTCAAATCTGTGCTCTCTTTTTTCACTAATTTTAACTTAGAAATTGCCCAACTCAAGGCTGGAAATAAGTGTGTTTGGCTCCAGGAAAGGCCTCTGCTGTTCCTCACAGTGTTGCTCTAGAGACACAATATCTTCTCTGTCACCTTTGAGCTTCCAGCACACAAGAGCTGGGGCTGGGCATGAAAGTCACTGCTAGAATAACTCTACCAGCGATTCAAGACGCCCAGGTTTGATCCCAAGTACCAGGGGGATGGAGGAACCCTAGGCAGTATAGATTCAATAACAAGAAAGTTCTTAGGAAAAAAAGAAGGCAAATACACTAGGTAAGTTGTAAAGAGAAGCCTTCCCGCCAGCCTGGTTCCAGAGCCGCATCAGTCCCAAATAAACACACAGGAGGCTATATTAATTATGAAGCTGTTGGCCTTGCTTTTTCTTACTGGCTAGCTCTGACTTAAGTATTTATCCCATAATTGCTAATCTAAGTATGTCTCTTACCGGAGAAGAGTTCCGGACATTTACTTCTCTGGCGGGTTACATCTTGACTCCCTGTGTTTCTCCTACCCAGAGTCCGCCTGGACTCCTAGTCCCACCTATCTTGCTTTCCTATTGGCCAACAGTGCTTTATTGACATATACACAGGACTTCCCCATCAGTAAGTATACTAACAGCTACAGGAAACACGTAGAAAGAGCTGCTGCTGATTTCAGGGAACCCTGGGATGGCAATGATGAAGGTTCAGAGTTTCCCGAGATGACTAAAGCTCCAGCATGTCTCCCCTTAGTTTTTTACGTGTTTTTAATTTAATCTTAAAATTAGGAACCACTCATTTCTTTCAATGCAGAATATCTGAACAGAGATTGTCTCTTTTGTTCCTGCCATTTGGTAACATGAATTAGGTCAACCTAGTATGATGTAAAACTAAAAAAAATATTGAAAATATTGGAAGCTTGGGTATGTGTGATTGGTGTAGTAGGAGTAGTAGCAATATACATTCTCAAGGTATAGCAAATTAATAAAGTGGTATTTTCTTGTCATTGAAAACTCTCTCCTCAACAACAAGTGTTCCCAAAATCTGTGCCAATATTTTCCAGGAATATGCAGGGTTGGTTGTACTGGGGACCCTCTTTCTCAGCAGTTACCAGCTTTTTAATATTAATTTCACCAGTTTCCTTCAACATTCCCCCCCTCTCTCCCCTAGCTTGCTTTCCTCTCTGTACTTAACAACATGGGTGAGTGAAGTGGTAGACACACACACACACACACACACACACACACACACACACTCACACAAGCATACCTCCTGGACACTTCACCCTGAAACACTAACAAAGGATGAATTTGAGGGAATAGTAGGAGACAAGCTGTAGATGAAAGAGGCTATGCAGCATTGCATGTACTCAGACCTTGATATTTATTACTATGCTTTGTACTTATTTTCTTCTATACATCTTATTTATTTTCTGGGTGAATGGCACTGGAGGCTGGACACAGGGCCTCATACATACTAGGTGAGTACTCTAATACTGAGCAGGACTGCCCTCCTCAGATTTCTTTATTTTATTCTATTTAATGCATTCCTTCAGGCATTTCTTATGCACACTTTTATTTCTTATTCCTAAATACATTTGATTGTGTATATCTGAGGGTTACCACATGGTGTTCTAGGGAACATGGAGATTATAAAATGGCTTCTATAGTGTAGCAAGTTATCATATAGTTAACAGACACCCTAAATACTGTGGAGTTTTCTCCTGGCCCTGTTACACCTGAGGCAGAACAGAAAGCACGCTTTATGGACCCTGCAGGGTTAGAAAGGCCGCCATTTCTGAAAAGCGCCAGGGTTGAAGATCCAAACTCTAATTCTTACACTTTTCAGATATAAGTAAAAATCAATTATTTCAATTTTCTCTACTCAAGATATAAGTAAAAATCAATTATTTCAATTTTCTTTTCTACATACTCTAAGTAAAATCACTTCCTGGAGGGCATAGTGAAAATGATAAATAAACAAAACATTTGCCATATACTTGTATTACCTTGAACATCACTGAGTCCAGTGAAGTGTTTATGTCCTCTTTAAATTCCTTGATTTTTTTTTTTCGAGACAGGGTTTCTCTGTGGCTTTGGAGACTGTCCTTGAACTCACTTGGTAGACCAGGCTGGTCTCGAACTCACAGAGATCCGCCTGCCTCTGCCGCTAAGTGCTGGGAATAAAGGCGTGCGCCACCACCGCCCAGCCTTCCTTGAATTCTTTGATAAAATTTTATAACAGTTTTTTTTTAATTCCTGTGTTCAAAATTCCTGTGTTCCAGGCTTCATCTAGGCAGCTCTCATCCGAGAACACTCCCACAGGACCAGTGGGTTCTTGGTCCTTTGCGATGCTTTTGGCTTGGGGGTTTGGCTGGGCTGGTGGACTTTCCTTGGTTGGGTTTGATGTGTCTCTCCCTTTGCTGGGGTCAGGCTGGTGCAGGAACCGCTGGGGATAAACTGTTGGGCTAGGACAGGTCTGTCGTGTAGAGTCGTGCAAGTGGCAGCTGCAGTGGGAAGAACAGGGGAGGGAGGGGTTGCCTCACCTCCCACCCCTTCTGCCCCTCCCCAGCCATCCCCCATCCACTCCTCCCAGAGGGCAAGGCCCCCTCGCTGCTGCGCTGCTGACTTGAGGCTGAGCATGGCACCCAGCTGCCTCGTGTCTCGCTTCCAGCTCGTGACTGCCCCAGGGCCCTTGAACTTCCTGTTTGCCCAGTTTAGGATACGATTCCCTGGAGTCTTCAAGCCTGTTTCTGTATTTCTGTGCTTATTTCTGTATTAAGTCATGTGTGCGTGTTTGGGTATGTGCACACGCGTGCAGGTGCCTGCAGAGGCCGCTTGAAACTCCCGTGCTAGAGGTGCAGGCGGTTGTGGGCTGCCTCACGCGCCATCTAGGAATCCGAGCCACCATCTCCCCAGCTCTGACTCTTTAAATTGCTTAGGTACCCAACTCAAAGCACAGAGACGCCCCCAAGTCCTCTTTGAAGGAGCCTCCTGCCTCAGTATCCCTGCCTTTCTACTGACTTTATTTATTTTTATTCTTCTCTTCACTAAGGTAAGCAGTTAGGAGCAGCTACGTTATCTGTTGCTACATGTAGAATTGTGTGCAGGACAAAAAGTGTTGACTAGATTTTGTAGAACTCAGAAGATGGTCTGAACTCCAGAGTAAGGTCTTCTGGGGCTCCAGAAGGGAAGAATGGGAGTTGTGGTCTACCCAGACCAGGACACCAACTCACTCAAGGCAAGGTGGAGATCCTGCTCGGTCACCTGTTTCGTTGTTTTAGGAAAGTCCCTGTACCTTTCTGGGCCAGTTTTTCCGATTAGAACTCTGACTTGGATAATCGACAGCTTTTTTTGTGGTGAGCTGTATAGATTCAGAAGTTGCTGGAACCACCACTGTTAAATTACCCCCAATA